TCTTGCTAGGCTTTTATTGTTTGTCTGTTTTTTAATCCAAGATAGGTAAATCTATAGAGACAGTAAGTGGATTGATGTTTCCTTGGGGATGTGACAGGGGAGGTTGAGGGGAAATGGGGAGCTAATAACAAGGAGGACAAGAGTGAAGAAAATGTTCTAAAACTGCAGTGATGATTGTACAACTCTTCTTGATGTGACTGAATTGTTGAATTGTATGATATGTGAATTACATACCAATAAAGCTGTGGGAAAAATAATCAAGACAATCCCACGAAACACAGTTCTACTCTGTCACACATGAAGTTGCCATGAGTTAGACTCCTGGCAATGAAGTCCACTTAGTGGCAACTGGTGGTACTGGTCCTCAGGCCCCTCCCACAAAGAGTCAGTACTACTGTGCTGAAAGCGAAGCTCTGCCGACTCTTTGCTTCGTCCAAGTCACTCTTAGCTTTGACGATACCATGGGAGGTGTCCTCCTAGTCCTGGGACTTCTTTCATATTGCTCTGCTTCTACAGATCAGAGACGTGAAACTATGTAATGAGATTGTACCACCACACATCCCATTTGTGATAGATTTACTTTCTCAGAACCCATCCAAAACATGGGGATTTGGGAAGCTGGGTCAAATGAAATGCTTTCTCATAATTTAACTTGAGCAAAGTTTTGTTTTGTTTTGAAATCACTTTATTAGGGGCTCATACAGCAAAGTTTTCTATCTAAAACAAATGACTATTTTTTTTCAGATTTCTACAGTCTTCTTTAATGTCAGATGAAACGTTAATGGATCAAAGGTTACCCAAATGACTCTGATTCCCACGTGCATGGTGATATGTGGTTTGAGCACAATTTGAAATCTTCGTCAGATCTTAATAATGGTCTAGCCAATAGCTGACTCGGAAGGCACAGCTCAGTCGTGATATCTAAACTCGATGAGAAGACACTTGGAGATTAGGAGCCTCCACGGAACACTTGCCCTCACCATTGTCAGCCAAGAGCAAAGGGGACTACTCGAAAATACGAGTGCACTTTCCTTGTGGAGCTGGACAGAGGGCTCTTGAGAGGTTCTGCTTGTTTCAAACCTTCATGATTTTTCCCTTTTTCTTTTAAACTCTGACTGGAGTCTTCAATTTATTTGACTCTAACATAACCAAGGAAATTCGACAAAAGGAGCAAAGAAGTACTTACCAAGAAACTTTTTCATCATAAATGAACTGTGGGAAAAAAAAAGATAGGTTAGTTAGAGATCCACATATGTTTATGAGACGCTCAAAAACATACAACATGTTTGAAGAAAGCAGATCGCCCATCCTTTTTGCTGGAATAAAACGCATCTGTAGGTTAACTTTTCTGTCTATTCGTTTAGTCGTTGACTAGTGCCAAGGGGTAAGGTTTTGGTTCAAAGTGATGAGAATCTTGGGAAGAAAGGGAGTAACAGGTAACTTCATCCTTTGTCAATTTCCACATGACAGTCCAGTGACCAGGAAGGTTTACTAACCTGCACTGCAAAACGTTAGAAAGAGGACGGGATGTAGGAGCAGGGTGGCCCTTCCCAACACTCACATCGGCACTGCCTGTGAGGCCTGTGCAGGCTCCGTGTGCTTGGTACTACCTTTAGAGTTCTTCCACATGGACCAGACTTGAACGTGCTCAATGGTTTTCCTTCAAATGCCCGATTGTTTGTGTGCTTCCATATTATAATTTATGTTCAAAGGAATCGTTTACGTCATTACCAGAAGTAGAAAACCAGCACAAATCGTCATGCCTAGAAGACGACTCTGCGAATCAAAGTGCAACAGGAGCAAACAGTGTCTGAAAATTCTGCTGCACATCGTGGGCCTCTCGAGTCCTGGCCTCTCGTTCAAGAAGGAGGTC